AAAAGCATCACTAGAGTAGTCTTTAACCAAGGCAGCACTTTTTTATTTTTGAATGTTTCTGCCCTTCTGAGGACAGTTTGTAGATTCCTATATAGGTATTAGTTATTTGATTAAAGGAAAACACTTGAAGGGTTAAAGTATTTATTCAAAAATATTTAAAATAAAAGCATTAACTGTAAGTGCAAGCTATAAATAAGTGTTATTTCCCATGCTGACTTGATGTGGTAATCCTGATCATCTTGTGCTGATCAGAAGATCTACTTCACAACACCTATGACATTGATTCATAAGGATAAAAAGGTGTATTAGCCATTAAATTATCTGGTAAAAAATTATAGTCAATCTCAATTAGAACATATAATTCAATAACCAAAACCTTAAAGAATGCACAAAATAAAACATCAAAATATAGAGCCTCAGCTGGGCATGGTGGCATAAGCCAGGCATGGTGGTACACACCTGTAATCCCAGCACTTGGGAGGCTGAGGTAGGAGGATTGTTGCAAGTTTGAGATGAGCCTGAGCTACAAAGTGAGCTCAAGGCCAGCCTGAACTGCATATGAGACCCTCAAAAAAACAAAAAAAAAACCCTAAAAATCAGGGCCTCAAAGCTTTTCTAAAAGATCCTGGGAATGCTGTCCATGTGACAGCATGATATTACAGAATAACTTGCCATAGGGGTATTTACTTTGAGGGAGCAGTAAAGGATTGGCCTTGAGGCATTGACAGTTCCCTGTAGTTTGACTGGCTTGCTCTAGTTTATGTGTTTTCTTATGGTGTGGTCTTGGATTGGGGAGGGAATGGGTTACATGCATTGCCTTAGCCTAATTAGCAACACAGGCTCAGCAGGAGCCCCAGGGGATGGCCATCTGTGTTAGGAGACCGGCAGTGAGCACCGAGGGCTGATTAGAAGTGACCGGGTCTACCCATATTTGTTTTGACTATGGCTTTTTAAAACTTCTCTCCCTGGTAATAACTCTGAATAAGAGGCATGGCTTATTCTGAGGATGTTTAGACCTCAGGGAGTAGAGTTTTCAAGGGGATGTGGTAGAGCAACGGGCCTGGACAGTTGAGGCTCTCACATTACGTTACCATCTTTCTCTTTCTTCCGTAGTCCTTGGACTTAAACTTCTTCTTATCTTTCTTCTTTTCCTTCCACATCGACAGATGGAGTGGCTGCTTTCCGTGCCTTCCTGAAGACGGAGTTCAGTGAGGAGAACCTGGAGTTCTGGCTGGCCTGTGAGGAGTTCAAAAAGACCAGGTCGACGGCGAAGCTGGTCTCCAAGGCCCACAGGATCTTTGAAGAGTTTGTGGATGTGCAGGCTCCACGGGAGGTGTGTAGGCCACTGCTACCATCTTGTGAGACCTCAGTGTATGGCTGCTGGTTCTCACCTCCTTCCTTACAGGAGTTTGAGCCGGGTGTGATGGAGACTTTCTTCTACTGAGCTAAGCTGCTGTACTCTGGTGGCCTTTAATAGATGATGATGATGATTTTGTGGTGCTGGTGACCAAACACCCAGGGCCTGTGTCTGCTAGGAAAATGCTCTACTGCTCAGTACATCCCCAGCCCCAAAGGAATTATCTTTAAAGGATTGGAAGCTCAGAACATTTATTAAAGGAGCTGTATTAGGAATATCTTCATTGCCCGTCAAATACAAGCTGGCAGGAACTGCATTGCTACAGGGGTTTTGTAAGAGTAGATACCTATGAGTCCATGTTTATTTTCCTGGAAAAATTAGTACAGTTTAATGCAATAAGTATCTTCTTTGGGATTTTCATTTCAGTCTCTGCTCCTTGTTAACTGGTTGTCTGATCATGTCCAAGTTACCCAACCTTTCTGAATCTCGTGTGCACAAGTGTAAAAAAGGGAATAATATTACTTACTTTTCAAGACTATTCTGAGGATTTGAGATAAGTTACCTACTCAATATTTGCCACTGATTAGTGAATATTTAGTTATTTATATTATTTTATTTTTGATATGATGAATTTCTATGTATTGCTATTGTGAGTTATAGTTCAGAATTTCAGTTGGGAGGATTTAATTGAAAAAAAGTCTGTTGTCTATGAGTTCAGCTGTACTATATGCCTGTAAGTCTTCAATTATACTTCGACTTGGTATACATGAAGTTTTTACCAGTGGAATAGGTAGGATGCTATAAGCCACTTATAATGCTGATTTGAATACAAATTACATTTTTTGTTTTGGTATCAGGAATTGAACTCAGGACTTTGTGCTTGCCAGGCAGGCACTTGTGCTGCTAAGCTATATCCCTGGCCCTACAAATTATGTTCTAACCAAAATCTTTCTCGATAGGGCATCTATTTCCTCAGTATTTATGAAAGGACAGGGAGAAGACTCACTCTAGGGCAGCTACGTTAACACCCTTTGTCCGATTTGAAGGTCCTTGGATTAGGAGTCAATTGATTTGGGAATTTTTGTCTTGGTTCTGCTACTAACTTCCCATACCACTTTAGACAAGCATTATAGCTTTCATCAATGTCCTTAGTTATAAACTGGAACTAAGAATACTTAGTGTCCAGACCTCACTAGAATCTTGCTGTGATCTCAAGAGACGAGCTTCATGAAAACAGCTTGAAATGCCCACATCCCCTTAAATATACAAAATGTTGTTAATGATTATTCTGCAGCTAGGTCCAGCTGCCAGGTGCTTTGGTCCTCAAGGGTCTGTAACCTTGTTCTCTATTTGTGTCTCCAGGTAAACATTGACTTCCAGACCCGAGAAGCTACAAGAAAGAATATTCAGGAACCATCCCTGACTTGCTTTGACCAAGCCCAGGGAAAAGTACACAGCCTCATGGAGAAAGACTCTTATCCCAGGTTCCTGAGGTCCAAAATGTACTTAGATTTGCTGTCCCAAAGCCAGAGGAGGCTCAGTTAAACCTCAGATGGGGACTCTTGGAAATCACCGGCTTTCCCCTCCCCTTGCTGCCAAGACCATATTCTAATGTGAAATCTCATAGGTGTTTAAAGGGTGGCATTTGGGGTAGGAGGCAGGGGGTGAAGAGAAATGAAGGGCCATTCCAAAGAGTAACCCAGCTGCCAGAGCTTGGACTTTCTTCCATTTACCCATATTTGTGTTTAAGTTAGTGGTAGGACCTTGCTGGTGTTGCCCTTCTGTGGGTCAACAACTTGACCTTCATAATGTTTCGGGTCATCCACTGAGAAGGCAGATTTGCTGTGCTAGGCTAGTCTGTAAATAATGCAAATGCAGTTCCCAATGCAGAGACCAGCCCCAGGTACTGAGACCTCACAGCCTAGGAGAGAGGTCTCCGTGGAACCCCAGCCTTCTGGCACTGTCATATGGAATCCTAGGTTTCTGGCATCATTAGCAGGTATCCTCCACAGAGTCAGCCGTTTCTTCCATGTCTACTGACCAGTGTGAGAACCTGTGACCACTGCCCGTCTTAGCCTAGGAAATTTATAGGACTTCCTTACCCTTGCATTTCCAGAAAGACTCTTGTGGGATTTCTTTCATGACTATTGAGTGGAGCTGTCGCTAAGAAAGACACAGCTTGCAAATATTCCTCAATTCTACCAGGAACTTTTCTAGAAGTTTTCCAAATGACCAGGGAATGTAAAACCAGTAGATTTTTGTGTAATGGGGCTCCATATAACCTGTCTGTTGCTTAATGTATTCTCTACCCTCACCTCTCTTGACATCACATATCTTTTAGAAAGACAGACAGCTTGGCAAAGGGAGGTAAATTCCCATAGCATGACAGCTCTCCCAGTGCCTAATACTTTCCCTGTTTGTCCATCTCCCCCGTTCCATGCAGGCCATGTAATTATGATGGGGGAGAACAGGGAGCCGGGCTGACGCTTTCTCCAGCTTGCTTCCTGGGAGCTTGCTTTCTTAGAAAGGCCCCTCTTGGCTATTGAGAGTCAGCATTCTTCTCAGTTGTTAGCCTTTGGGATTGAACATAACATATGCAGGTGTGGATAAGAAGATCACTGTGAACACTGAACCACGGATAGCTTCCTAAAATGCTTTCTTGTTACCCTGTGGCCACTGTTGGAAATGTCAGGAAACTCCCTTGGAGGATGAATGATGAACAGCACAGAACCTCCTCCAGCTGTGCAGGAAAAAACTGACTGCCACAAGAGCAGCGTTGAGGGGATGAGTCCTCAGCAGAGAGGTCAGAACGTGGAAGAGGAGCCTGGAAGAGGCTGGTCTCCAGGAGACGTGAATAACAAAGAGCATGATGGAGCTATTACCGGGAATTTCTGTCCGGTGGATTTAGATTCATCGCAGATCTACAAACCCTTCAGCTCGAAGCAATGAAGCAGCACAAGATTAGGCAAAGGCCTTGGAGTGCGGGTGATGGAGAACGGGCTGAAGCACTCTCCTTTGGTGGTGTTCTGGGCGTCTTCAGAATATGCCGGTGTCCCTGCATTTGCACCCCCGTCCTGTAACTTTGAGAATCACTTTCTTCCTTGGCTACAGCCAGACAAGACCAAGAAGGCCCTCAAGTCCTACTAGTGTTAGTGCCTACTTCTCTGCTTCGGCCACTGTCGTCTGTGAGTGAGGGTTGGCACGTCTGGGTGAACTTCTGGAAAGAGAGAAATACCTGCTTCCTGGCCCAACACTGAACAGACCTGTGGGAGTTCATGCTTAAGAACTCCGAAGCCTCAAATAGTGTTCCTAGTTAGGGCAGATAGTATCTTCCCACCCCAGTTAAAAAAAAATCCATTCTTAGCTAAAGCTGCCAGAGTTAATTTAATGATTAAATTATCTAACAGGGTATTATAAATATTGTTTACATACAAAATGTGCATCTGCTGCCAATTCTACTGTTGAAAATGAGGTGCATATAAATCGGAACTACAGAGTTATGTTCTGGGAAGGTTTTTTCACCGATCCCAACACCCCAAGGAGGAAGGTTGGAACAAGAGTGTTGTGTGGGATTTCATTTGAGACCTAGAGTTTTCCTCAACTGTGAGTGGAACGAAGGTGGTCAATGGTGGTGTCGTCGCATCTTGGTGCCTCCCTCCCACAGTGGGGGGTATGAAGGACCAAGCTTCAGTATTCTAAATTTTGTAGATAGACAAGGGCATGTGGGCATACGTCTGTGTATAGAAGAACGTGGTAGCTCTATGTGTGGTACTCCTGTGGAACATCTGTGTGTGTGTGTATGTGTGTGTGTGTGACAGGTGTGGGCACTGGACTAGTGTACTCCAGACATGATCTTCCCACGTGGGTGGCTTTCCTCCCACCCTGTACACCCTGCTTCCCACAGAAGGCACAGAGCTCCCTGCTCTGATGCCTACTTTTAGGCATGTTGGTCATGCCGACCTAGATTTTGGTCTGTGACAAAACAAAGAGAAATGTTTACAACATCTAGAGCAATATCCAAACATACCTCATCCTTAACCTTCCATGTCTCTGGGTCCCGCCCCCATCCCATTCTTTTTCCCTCACAAGCCTCATCCACCTCATGGGTGGGCATCACTGGAGGGGCTTCCAAGTTTCACTTTTCTTTGCTCCTCATGCTTGGCCTGCTCTGGGCTGGGGTCTCTGCAGACTCCAGGCAAGCCCAGGCAGTGGGCCGGCAGAGCTGTGGCTCTGAGCTCCTCTCTCCATCTCTGGGTGGCGTTTTGGTTCCACTGGAGTGCTAACCTGTTTGGGGGCTGGTGTGAGGTTTGCTCTTGCCTTTGCTGGACTGAGCAGAACAATTATTGACAAATATTCACAGCCCAGGACACCTCTAGGGTGGACAGGGATCCTCTGGGGCAGCGTATTAAACTTGTGTAGGCACTGGGATCACCCCATAAGCCTGTTACAAATTCTAATAAATGTTGCTCAGGTCCCACACCTAGATATGCTGAGCCAATAGATCTGGGGCAGGGCCCAGGAATCTGTATTTTTATAAACTGGGTATGTAGTGGCTTGTGGACCTGGAACAAAGGTGGTCTGAGACAGTGGCTCTTAACCTCGGCTATGTATTCGCCTCAACTGGGGGGTATTACGAACGAGATTGTTCAGGTCCTACCTCAGATCAGCTGAGTCAGAGCAGTTTGGTGGGATCTGGGTGACAGTGGTCTTTTAAGCTCTGCAGTGGGTGCTGGTGTACAGATGAGAGGAGGAAGCACTAACCTAAGGACTGAGGAGAAGCAGGCTAAAGGCAGAACACAGTGGCAGGGTGAGAGGGCGAGAGCCCACCCAGATGCAAAAGCACAACGAGGAAACTTGCCAGCTCTGGGGCTAGACTCTTGGGAGAGCTGCTTCTCCCCATCTCAGTCTGACTTGTTTCTCTGAGATTGAAGGGTTGGGTCTAAGCCACAGGCACTGTCTGGCAGAGGGCATGTCAGCAGTGAGCGGCAGGGGTACTTGGTCAGGAGATGCTTTACCATGCTTTCTGAGTCTTGTGCGCAGTGCTTCCCCTAGGCTTGCCTGATGAGCCAGATCTCTCGTTTGTTTTCATGCGCTTTTGTTTTGGGTTGTTTTGAGTTAGACTGTGCCTCTGTACCTAAGGCCACGTAACAGGGAGCTGGAGCTCAGGTAGTGAGTGAAGCGTGTTGTGGTAGTGAAAATAGTAGTAACAACAACTTCCACGTTTCTCAGCAGAGGGTGGCACATTCTCGGGAGTATCAAGATCTGGGAGGCTTTTCCAAGGCCATTTTGGGGTTTGGTCCCTGCTCCAAGCCCTCCGCATTCCCTTTTTGGTCCCAGGTTGGATAGGCAGCTGGGAAGCTGCCAGCTGGTTTTATTTAATGGTGTTCTCACCAGATCTTGCTGCTCTGACAAACCAAAGCTGTGAAGAGGCCTTCTGCCTGGGTTGCAGGGCTGGCCTCTGGGTGTGGGCCCTGGGCACTTCTCCTTGGCCAGGCCGGGGTGTTCTGGTACTTCAGGCCCTGGTTAGTGGAGAAGCTGGCTCTGCTGTGAGGAAATGAGGAGCCTATTGTGCTGAGAGCTGGGGGAGGCTGGCAATGCAGAAGGCGGCAGAGGAAGGAGCGGGGCAGGAAAGACAAGCTGTCATCACGATGTCTGCTCCTCCTTGTCCCAGAGGGAACGGCGAGGAGGGGCACATTCAGAGGAAGGATGGTCTCCTACCACCAAGAGCGCTCAGAACTCTGCTTACCCTGTGTGTGTCCACATCCAAGCCAGGCAGAGGAGCTGTGGCTTCCCAATCTTGTCTTCAATCTGCCAAGTGTTAGCCCTCTTTAAATCTATATCTTTCTGAGTTAAAACGGAAGGTGGCGCTGTGAGTGTGTGCCGCCATGTGTGCTGCCATGCCCCTGGGCATGAGGCTATGGAGAAGCCAAGAACTAGGATGTCATCTTGTCCCTGTGTTGTCTCGGGACTCCATAAGATGCTGGCGGCCCTGACGGAAGACCTCAGGCTGTGGCCACTGGCCTTCCTGCCACTGGGGTCCAGTCCCCTCAATAAACTATTCCTTGAGTCTTGATTCTTCTTTCTTTTCTGTCCTTTTGCTCCCTCCCTTCTGCCAGGCGTGGAAAAGGTGGCTGGGCACCGAGTGCCCCTCCATCCACGGTAGCATTAGCTGAGTCGCTCGCCAGCACAACAGATCTGTAGCAGCTCATCTGCCATATAAACCGCTTGGCTGACGGAGTCCTCACTGAGTCGTTTCATTACCATGTAAAGTGGAATAATGTCGTTCACCTTTACTATAAACAAGGCTGTGAGAACATAATAAACAGAACCTGAACAAGCTGCCCTTCGCTCTCTGCCCACATTTCTGGCCGGCTGACTCGATGAGGAAACTCTTCTCAGGACACGTGGACCTAGAGGGGACACGCGGCCTCCCCCCGCAGAGGCTGACACGGGGCTGGCCACCAGGAAAGCAGGAGCGTGGGTGGAACGGCGATGTGAATGGTCTGGGGATGAATGTGAGGGCTGGAGAGTGGCTTTGGGTGATGAGAGTTGCTTTGAAGCTGTAAAGCGTTATACAAAGGCCAGGTGGTATTTTTATTTGTACCACCTATTGCTTGAAAATGCGGGGAGAGAAAAGGCTGGGAGGATGTGTCTGTTTGTTCAGCTGGAGCAATCTGGAAATGCAGTGGATTGCAATTGCTCATGGCATCACCTCACTTTACACAACTGGCGTGTCCCTGTGTTAGTCACCAAATCTTTGTCTCTGGTGATCAGGTCCCATGGAGGGGACCAAAGCAGAATAAGGCACTGTATCTGCTGCCAAAATCTCATTCTTCAGGTGGGTGATGAGACAGATATTATACACAAAACCTTAATTATCCTAACAATTTAAAATGCACCACGGAAGGTCTATGTTTAAAGAAAAGATATTTCGGGCTGGGGATTTAGCTCAGTGGCAAAGCGCCTGCCTGGCAAGCGCAAGGTCATGAGTTTGGTTCCCGGTACCGGAGAAAAAAAAAAAAAAAAAAAAAAAAAAAAAAAAGATATTTCTTCCAAGGTGAATCATTTGGGTCAAATGCAAAAGGTTTTGTTATGCAAATGATCCCCCCACCCCCGGAATTCCAGTTTTGTGGACAGGCAGTGAGTGGAGCAGGTGGGCTGCTGTGGATGGGAGGCCCACCACTGGGAAAGGATGTGGCTGGTTTTTTTTTTTTTTTTCAGTTTTGTTTTTCTCCTTCTTCTACCCCTATGTCCACCTGAGGTTTCTTTTCCTTATTCTCTGAGCGGGAGGGGGCAGGAGGCGAGGTAAAGGGGCAGGAGCAGGGTGGGGGGTCACAGCCTGTCTGGGCCTGCCAGGGCTCTGATGGACTCTTCCAGGGCCCTGTCACTCGGGAATCCCAGCTGTGGATTTGACAGTGAGGGTGAATGATTCCTGCTGTGGCAGGCGACCTGCTCCTTCCTGGATAGAGCCCAGCTCTGCTGAGATGTAGTTTGTTGCCTCTGCAGCCTGCCTTCTTCAATTGGTCCTGGGAAGACCCCTGCCAGTCCTCTCAGAAAGCCCCAGTGGGAGCACTTGGGCCTTATTGGCTCCTGGAATTACAAAGCAGCAGCTACATTCATCTGCTTTGACACAGGGCCCCAACGAGCTCACTACTAACCTTATTGATTTTCTAGGCTGGAGTCAGGCACCCATCTTATTGTCCTCAGGCATTCGGGGGTGCATGCCAAGCTCTCCAAGGGACACGCTGCACCTGCTCCCTCTGAGGTGAGGGTCAGGAACCTACCTTTCTCCTTCTAGTGTGTGGGGATCACAGCACCATAGCAGCTTTCTCTAGAAAACTCACATTCTCTTTCTCCTTGTCTCTTCCTCTGCAAGACAGGTCTCAGGGTCTTTCCCCTGGCTCTCCACCGTCCCCTGGGGCGTTTGGACTGGCCTGGAATCTGCTTTGGGGTCTGAGTTTTCTCTCCTAGGCACTGGCGGAAGCTCTTACGTGTGCAGACACTAAACATTATGCCTGGTCTCTCACTAACCCAATGTACACATGGAAAAAACAGCTTCAATGATCCAAATCAGCTAAGTGGGAGCCATGGCCAGATGCAAAACAGGTCTTGAGACAACACCTTCTGTGGGTGCCTTTCTGGCTGGGATTGTTCTTTGTCTGCTTGGGCTGCTATACCAAACTCCTTGGACCAAGTGGCTTATAAATCACAGAAATTTATTTCTCATCATTCTGGAGGGTAGGAATCTGAGATCAGGGTGGCTGCAAAGTCAGGTTTGGTGAGGGTCCTCTCTGGGTTGCAAACTGCCATCTTCTCGTTGTACCCTCACTCAACAGAAGAAGAGCAAGCTAGCTGTCTGCACCTACAAAAGGCACCAGTTCCACTTGTGAAGACTCCACCCACATGACCTAATCATCTCTTACGAGTTCTACTTCCAGATCATATCACATGGGATTCGGGGCTCAACATAAGAGGTTTCTGAGGGGAGCACACACAGTGCAGGGGCTGATCTGGTCCTCTGTCCAGCAGGTGAGGGACAAGGCCCTGTGGTGGGAGGACATAGCATATGTGCACCTGCCCTGTTCTTGCCTCAGACTACAGCACAGAAGGGAGTCTGAGCACACTCCCAGGTCACAGTGGCTGGAAGCCCAGCTATGGGACTAGAAAGGCCACAAGTCTGAGACAACCCTGTCTTTGCCCAGGGTCACAGCAGAGCATTATGATAATTTGGGTTCTGGAGCTAAACGATCTGGGCTGGAATCCCAGCTTTAACCATTACACATTGTGTGAGCCCGAGCAAGTTACTTCTCATCTGTCAAACTGCAATAACAATAATGGAGTCTGCACTTGGACTGTTATGAACAGTGTGCAGGTTAGTGAGAAAAGAATGTGGCACACAGTGGGCACGTAATCTGTGCCAAATGGCATCTTCTCTTACTTTGGAATCATCAGGGAGTCCAACTACTGTGTTTTCCTGAAGTTTCCCTAACTGGAAGCAGCCCTAAATGGTTGTTACTATGGCGATCGCCAGTGTCAGACAGAAGATTATTCCTCACTATTCTCTCCCTCCGTGGCTACTCTGTAATGGCAGGAGAGGTAAGGGTAGGCGGATTGGGGCTGACATATTTTTTTGGGTTAGCTCTTATTTTCAGGTAGCGTTTCCATTCTTAGCCCACTTGCTTCTTGGCTGAATGCAAAGGAAATACTGAAAGCAATGATATTACACAGTCCGCATCTCCTCCCTTCCTGCTAAACCTTAAACTCCCTGTGGGTGGAGACTGTGTCCACCTTGTTCATTGCTCTAGTGCCTAGATATTTATTGAAAGATTACTGAATCTACAAGTGTGTTTTCAGGGCCGCTTACATATTAGACACTTGGGTAGATTGGGGGTGGAGAAATGTGAGAAATCTAAACCTGGGCCCTCAAAGAACTTACATAGTTCTCACAAGGACTTAACCACTTTATAACCATTGGCACTTTCCAAGTGAGTGGTACTGAAAGTAAGCACCTGCATGTCACAAGTAGAAAAATGAATGAAGTGCTTGGGAGCCAGGAACTTCTTTGAGCAATTTGGAAGCTTCATCTACTTGGATCCCTGCAACAAATCTATGCAGTTGTGCATTAGTTTGTCAGGGCTCCCCAAACACTGGGTGGTTTAAACAAGAAAAATTTGTAGTCTCACAATTCTTGGGGCTGGAAGACCAAGATGAAGGTGGTAGCAGGGTTGGTTTCCCCTGAGGCCTCCCTCCTTGGCTTGCAGATAGATGATGCCTTCTTGCTGTGCCCACACATGGTCTTTTCCTCATGCACTTGAACTCCTGGTGGCTCTTCCTCCTCAGTCATGTTGGATGAAGGCCTTGCCCTACAGCTTCCTTAACTCAGTGACCACTTTAAAAGTCCTGTCCTCAAATTCTGGGGTACTAGGGGTTAGACATCAACAGATGGATTTTGGGAGAAGGAGATTCATCTGTAACAGGTAAATAGTTATTATTCCCACTTATGAAAGAAGGAGCTAAAGCCTAGACAGGTTAAATGATATTCCCAAGGACACATACGGTACAGGTGGCAGAACTGGTCTTTAGAATACTTGTACTGTAAATTCAATAACATCTATTGTGCTGAGGACCAGAAGGTTTTTTAGGGGGAGGAGTGGACTGAAAATGGCACAGGTGGGGAGGATTGGAGGAGGATTGTGGGGATTCTGGATCTAAGCTGCCCATGGGATGGAAAGGGTAAGGACACACCGGTGCTGGCTGGCGAAGGTAAGGGTGGGAGTAGAAATGGGGTCAGTCTTCTATCTGTTGCTCGCTCAAAAGTCTGGAGAAACTGGTGGAAGATGATGGTGGTTGAAAGAGATGCTGCCGAACCCACTCGAAGCTAGATTGGCCAATTATGTGCTTAACTGTTCCTTGGCAGAGAGTACAGCCACGGGCACCTGGTTTGTTTTGTTCCTGTTCTGCCCTTTGTACTGTCTCCATTAGGACGATCAGTCTGCCACTGTCTCCCATGGCACGGTGCAGTCAACATCCCCAGAGCACATCTTTCTTCTTGGGGAGGCTGAGTCACAGCCCTGCCCACAACCTGGAGCCTAGTGTTGGCTCTATTTCCTGAATCTGCCACAGGAAAGCACATTTGGGGGCTGCAGGCCCCAGACACACCCTTTGTAAAGAGGGGGAAGTAGCTCCCGTGCCCTTAGGCATTCAGGCCAGCCTGGTGGAGACCATAAGGGGCCTGAACTGTATCCAGGGCTGCATGGTGGGACAGCCCACGGGACTTGTGTGTGCGTCCCTGCGGAAGGTATTTAGTCTCTCCTAGCTTCGCTTCTCTTTCTGCAAAGGGTAGCTAATAATGCCCACACTTTCAGGCATGTTGCTTCAAGGATGAGAGATGGTTTGTGCCTAGCCCCTGAGGCAGGTGGAGGTGCTGTAAGTAGTGGAGGTCCTGGACCTGGTGTGCAGGTATCTCAACACTAGGTTCCTTGACCCCTTCTAGGGTCAGTATGTGTCCCAGGGCAGTTGACAATAGAAGATCTAGTGAGACAGGTGAATGTAAGCTGAGCTTGTAGCAAAACAGGATCTCTATCAGCTAGACAAGGGGCCTTTAATTCAGGAAGACGTGCTGCTCCAGCTGGGGCGTTAGCACCACTCCTTAGCTGCCTCATGAGCTAATATGGCAGAGATCATGCACTCGGCACGCAGCTTTTCCGTGCAGCACCCAAAATGCAAACAGATTAACTGGATGTTTGAGTTGGCAGCGTGAAAACACAAACTCCTTGAGCCTAATGGACTGATCAGGCACCTTCAGCGTGCTCTTATCTAACCTATGCCAGCAAGAG